TCCAGATCTGACCCTAATGGGTCTGTGGAAGAGTAAGTTTATGCAAATATATCCTTTGTACATATGTATTAGGGTTCTACAGATGAACAGAATCAACAGATTGTATGTAAGAGGGGTTTTAATAGATTTGCCTCCCATGATTAGAGGCTGGATGGTCTCACATGGCTGCTGCAGGCCAGAGAGACAGAGAAGCTGTACATAGTTAGTCTAAGAAGCTCACAGTCTCAGTACAAGAGAGCTCGTATAGCCCCAATCCAACACTAAAGACCTGAAAGACCACTAATCAGTCTCTGGTGCAAATCTATGTTTCACAGCTGAAAAATCAGCAGGCGAAATCCAGAAGCAGTAAGAGTAGCAAGAATCCAGATCAGATGTATATGCTCAAACTTCTCCCTTTTTCCATGTTCTTATTCCATCTGGGCCCCACATACAGTGATGCTCACATTCAAAAACAGTCTTCCCCACTGAGCTTGGTGATCCACACACCAATCTTCTCTGGACACACTCTCACACACACTTGGAAGTCTGCTTCATCAATATTCTAGGCATCATTCAAGTCAGCCAAATTGACAATCAGATTTGACCATCGCAAAATTCATGTGATGGACTGTCTATGTCTGCCTAAAACTCATACTCTAACTCATAATGTAAAGCTATTAGGTGGTGGGGCTTTCGATAGATAATGAGCTCATGAGGACAGAACTCTCATGAATGGGATTAATGTCCTAATAAAAGTACATCAAAAAGCTCTCTTGCCCCTTCCCTGCCTTGTGAGTATACAGAATTCAGGGAACTGCAGTTCAGAAGGTCTTCATCAAAACAGGACCATGCATTGAGCCTCATACCAGCCTTCCATTCTCCAGAACTGTGAGGAATCTGTTGTTTACAAGCCTCCCACTCTTTGGTACTTTGTTAAACATTCCAAAACAATTAAAACTATGCATATATTAGAAATTTCAGCACAAATTTCAGAAAACACAAGGGCAGTCATTTAAGGCGCTTCCACAGGTGTCACATGAGGTAAACATGCTGCCAAGAATATAGTGAGAACAGGAATATGCCAACAGTTCCATAGGAGCAGGTGCAAGGGACTATAAGTTCTGGGAAATCTAAATAAAGAAAGTAAATATTAAGTGGTAGCTTGATGAATGGATAAAGTTTGATTATGTGGGAAGAAATAGCAGTGCATGAAATCAGAAAATGGTGAGGTGTGTTCAAGGAGTTGCATGGTATATTTGAACTGAACAAGTATCTACATGAAGATATAATCAAAGACTTAGACTTTGTCTCAAAAAAGGGGGAGGAGACTGAGTAGTTCAAAGGCTCTTGGCTCAATCCCTACTATATAAAAAAAATACTCTCATAAAAGGTAAATTGTGGTATAACTGCAGTGAGCCTTGCAGTTGATATCAGAAAGAACAAATTTGATTCTAGAGGCAAAGTCAGATAAAGTTGATTTTTAAATATTTTCTTCTGGATGTTTGTGAGGAAAAGTTTTAGTACTGTGGCTAAAGAGTAGTATTTAGTGACCTAAGGTTAGAAAAAGGTAAGGTGGTACAGTAGATTTTACTTCTCAGATGTCGTTCTTAGGAACATATAAAATGAAGACCAAGATTCATGTACTCAAATATCCACGGCAATGATACAAATAAAGAAAAACCTGAAGTGATATAAATACCTAACAACATGAGATTCATTAGTAAATTATGTATATCCAGATGTCATACCATTCAAAAGAATGTTTCCAAAGAACATTTAGCGATATGAGAGAGAGAAGAGATGGAGCTGTTCATTATACTGTATATTAAATGTAAAATTCAAACACAAATCTAATATGTTTATGAGAGTGATGTTGCTTAAAATTTAAATATCAGAACTTCCTTTTGAATTTCTTTTAGACTCTGTACTTCTTAAACACAGGATGTCAACAACATTGTTTATATTTTTACAAAAATTTATTATAAAAGGGAAAGATTGATAACCTTGATAAATGTTAAAATAAATACTGAGCTACCTCAAATATAATCAAATAAACAAAGGGTTATTTCTCTGGCTGTTTTAGGCTTATTGTGTAAGTCCATTTTATGAGGTCATCTAAGGAATGTCTTTCCTTGATTTTTGGTATTTCATCTTCTTTTGGGTCACTGTTCTTTCCTGCACGATAAAAATTAAGCTGATGTCATGTCTCTGTTTTAGACTACAGTAAAAGAAAAGAGCAGCAAATTTAAGTACCTTTATTTTTAAGGATGTGTAATAAAAGTTGTTCACATCACGCTTTTCATATCCAATGGTCAAATGGTCACAATAGCTCCGAGGAAAGCTAAGAAAGCACAGTAGGAGATGTGCTCTATGACTTTGAAGAAGAAGGAAAGGATACTTTCACATCTTTTTCACATCTGCTAGAACATAATGTATCTTTGGGGTTCCTTTATCAACTCTTATAAAATATCAATTATTATAAAACAAAATTTTGGATTTTGTTTTGGATTTCTGTCCTTATGTCAGTTGTGGAAACTCACTGTGGTAGTCAATAAATGAGTTACTGTTAACTGAACTACTAGGTAATCAAATACAACAAAGATAAATCTCAGATGATAAACTTAGATAAAAGTAATCATATTCCTTTATCATCTTTAAAACTGTTAAGTCTGACATCAAGCCCCATGCCATGTGGCTGGTGAGAAATTTCAACTTGGGCATCACTGAGCTGTTTTCTTCCCAGATGGTGTCAAGTCCCTCTGCTGAGCCCCTACAGTCATTAGTTGTCCATGGCATTAGGTGCTTAGTTCTTCCAAACACCCATCTGCTCTCTTTTCTGGTTGTGCACAGAGCACAAGATCATTTCTGAGGCCGTTGCAAGCACCTAACATAAGCTTCACCCCACCCTAGCACTGCCAGGGAACAGGCCTGGGTCCCCTGCAGGCCGGACCTCCAGATCTATCTTGATCCTCCCAGTTTTGTGTAAACCTTTCTACTCTCCCTCGGTAATGTTCAGAGAAAAGCTGTGCAAGGCTAAAGTCCAGGGGTAATGTTGCCAGTAACAGAAAATGCTTTCACCTTTTAAAAAGTTCTGTTTTCTACTCTGCAAAATTTCCCCCTACTTGCAATGGGGTAGAAGGGGGTGATTCAGTAATCTAACAAAGCTTAATCACTTCTAAAACTCACCCTGCCACCCACGTGCTAGGTACAGAACCAGAATCAGTGTCACTCCACTCATGGATTATCCATTTTGGAGCCACAGAGACTTTTGTTTCTCCTGGGTTCCTCATTATTGGTCAGATTTTGGTGAGTTGGACAGGTCAAATGACCTCTACCTAAGTGATGTCCCCCTATTATAAATTTCTTTATCATAAAAAAAAGTGGAGCACCCAGAGGAAAACACAAAAGAGGAAAAGGTTACATTTATTTAACTTCTGTACCTACAAAGTTTGCGCATGGCCTAAAATAAAGAATCTGAGTGTTGTCCTAAAGCTTGAAGGCTATCTGTTTATTACCGAAACCTAGGAAGACCTGGTTGTGAAATATAGAGGAGGGGTGAGAGAACAGAGAAGACAGAAAAAAAGGAAAAACATAAATTTCTCTCAAATTACAGCTAGAATAAATCAGTGAGTTTCTACCTTACTTTTTCTTTTTTCCTTCCTTTATCTCTTCCTTCCTTCCAGCAACTTCCTAGCAACATCTTCCAAATATAATACTCTCCCTCAAAATCAGTTTTTTTGAGAATAAATCTCTTACTCCTCATTTCTTGCCTGACTTCCCAAACATCAACATTTCAAATTTTTAGAAATATTTGACATTTTCCCTGTTGATTTAACACAAGCTAGTAAGTAATATATATTTTATTTAAGAAAACTCATTTTAACAGAGTGAAAACATGACAAGAAGCAGCATGTAGCCAAGTCTGCTAAAGAGGTAGGCTGCCACCCAGCAAGCACTTGGGGAAGACCACGGAAGTCAGATGAACAGGGAGACTCTCAATATTTTAGAGTCCAGGAAGATTTTCTCTACATCTTCACTTTTTTTTTTTTTAAGGTGAAGAAATGCTGTAGCAACCTTCCAAGATGTTACGGTTGACATCTTTATTAACGATCACATAGAGACAGCAAATGGTATTTAACCGGTTTGCAAATGATGCTAAATTAAGAGCTGTTGCTCATATCAGTAAAGATAACATAGTAATAACTAAACCTGTGCTGGCGAAAAATATATGGAAGTAAAAGATAGGGATTTTTTTTTTTTTTTTAAGTACTGGGGATTGAACTCAGGTCCTTGCACTTGTGAAGCAGTGGCCGGAACCACTGAGCTAAATCCCCGGCCCAGGGAAAATCTTAGTGATGTGGAACAAGCACATTTTGTAATGTGATCAGAAAGCAACCATGCCCTAGAAGAGGGCACCTACTTTAGGATAAATATGAAGACCCTGCTTCCGGGAGAGAAGCAGTTGTTCCTTCCTCCTAACTCTGATATCATTGAACTCTGAGAAGCATGTCTAATCTGGAGCCTTGGATTCAAATTGGTAAAGTGTAAGATGAGAAAACAAAGCTGCACTGAAAATCACTAAAGATGGTGTGGATAAAAAGGTTAGTGGGCATAAATATTTATCATTTCAAGACTAAATAAAAACCTGCAATTATTTTAAAGGTACAAACATCACAAAGAAGAGCCATTATCTAGACTAGGAGGCCTTATAATTAGCAATAGTGTTGTTAAATATGGCTTTAATTTAGAAATATCAGGAAATCTTTTTATATAAATCACTAAAGATGGTGTGGATAAAAAGGTTAGTGGGCATAAATATTTATCATTTCAAGACTAAATAAAAACCTGCAATTATTTTAAAGGTACAAACATCACAAAGAAGAGCCATTATCTAGACTAGGAGGCCTTATAATTAGCAATAGTGTTGTTAAATATGGCTTTAATTTAGAAATATCAGGAAATCTTTTTATATATATATATTCCAAGGCAGTTTAACTGAAAGCATTAGACCACTAGTGAGCCAAAAAGCAGCAATCATGGAGACCTGGAGCTCAGCAGTAAGGGGGCTTGAGTAAGATGAGCAGAAAAGACTATGATCATATGTTATAGTACATACTTAGAGAAGATCACTGACCTATATTCCTGATATAAGGAATTAATGTCCTATGATATTAGGAATTTATTCTTCTATGATGGCACATAACTTATTATCATAGCAGCTGAGGTACTGGGGATAAACACAACACTCAGGTGAATTTTCAGGGCAGTTGTAACATATTCTCCTATTTGATAAGTTCTCCTCCCATCCCTTCTGAGAATGACAGGATAGAAATACTAAAAGAAAGAAATAGTTTATTCCTTTCTGACCTCAAGTGTGTGTGTTTTTCACGCTGAGAAATTATCCAATTCTCTGTGGAAACAAAATGGTGTCCTACAATTTAGTTCAGTTCTGACAATTATCCAGAGTTACTGCAGATCCCACAAGATAGGAGCTCAGTCTCACCAGACAGCACTCCACCTTAATATGTCAATCACAAATAGACCCCACATTACCCACACTTCTGTGCAAATTGGCTACAAAGTCGGGGCTTTTGCATGTCCCCCTCAGTTTGATAGTTTTCTATAATGGCTTACAGAACTCATGGGAAACAATTTACTCACACTCACCAGTTTATTGTAGAGGATATTATAAAATATAGAAATAAATGACTAGATGGAGAGGTGCACTGGATAAAGCCCAGAATGATCCTGAGCGTGTAAGCCTCTGTGCCCTCAGAGTTTGGGGTGAGCACCACAACTTGGATGTGTTCACCAACCCAGAGGCTTTCTCAACTCTATTGTTTAGGGGTTCTAGGCAAGCCCCATTAGCTAGGCACGATTGACTGGCGGTATTGACTCAATACCCAGGAGGTTGAGGGCAGGGCTGAAAGTCCCAACTCTCTAATCATGGTGTTGATTTCTCTGGTGACCAGCCCCCATCCAGAAGTTATCTAGGAGTCCATCCAAAGTCAATTTATTGGCAGTGGTTGAAGGATCTTATTTTTTTAACTTCAGAATGAGAAAATTTTTATTTTTAAATTTTTATTAATTTGGATTTTGATGGGGGTTTATGATGAATAACAGAAGCTGAGCATCATACTTCCTTCATTTAGGAAAATCCAAGCGTTATAGAACTATATGCCAGGAACCAGAGATGAAAGCCAAAGACAGAAATGCAGCATTCAGAAGCATTCAGCTCTGCCATGTTGTAGGGTGACATCTTAATTAAGTTAAATTTGTGCACCTCAGTTTTCCCAATTATAAAAGAGTATGCTTTATAATAACACGTTTTGGTTTTTGTATGTAATGTGGCTTTCTATTTCTTTTTATTTTTATTTTCCTTAAGTCTTGAATTTTTACCCTTTTGAACCGCAGTGTGCCATTATGTGGTTTTCTTTATCTTCCTTGATTTTTTTCTCCTCATTGTGAGGTCTCATATTCCTATTCCTTTTTATGTCTAGCCATTTTTTGTTGTATGGCAGGCACGATGGCTTCCTTGCTGTTGAGAATCTGAGTTTGGTTGTCTTTTCTAAAAGAGTTTTAAGTATTGGTATGGCAGATGACTAATGTGTGGTAGGATAGCTTGACTCTTGTCATCAACAGCAAAGTCTCCTGACATTTTGAGATGGTCAAGTCACACACATACCAGAAATCCAACTTGACTGCACTTACATCTATTGTTATACTCTCATTCTTTTGTACCCCAGATTTGACCTAGCAATACAGACAGCAGCAATAGCCAAATCCTAGGAACTCACCTTCTGACATTGAATTCTACTCCAAGTCTCTTTCCTATTCTGTTGCAAATCAAAGTCCTGGGTGTATTATTGGCAGAAGCTACATCATTTCCTTTGCCCCAACTACAAGGTGATCTGCAGAAGGATGTATCATGACATCTGCCTTGGTGAGAAATGACTTACAGGCTGCATATTCCCCAAATATGAGAAGGGTTCCAAGAGATAAGTTTCCACTGGAGGATTTGGCTGTCAAACACTAACAGAGCTTTTGCTGTTCTTGTTTGTTTTTTTGTCGTTATTGTCATCATAGTCACTGGGAAGTGAGCCTATGGCCTTCACACTTGGCTACATCTCCAGTATTTTCTGTAGTTGTTGCTTGCTTTTCTATTTGAAATAGGGTCTCATTGAGTTTCCCAGGTTAGTCTCCAACCTCCAATCCTTCTGACCCATCCACTCAAAGTGCTGGGGTTACAGGTATTTGTCACACCTAGATACAGTCAGGATTCTTTAACTGGTAGAATAACCCATATTTTATTCCCAAGATATATAAGTCCTTGGTGATATTGCCTGTACAGAGTCACTACTGTTTTCTTATCTTTATCACTGGATAAGAAAAAACTACAAGGGCTGGGGATTTAGCTCAGTGGTGCTCACAAGTGCAAGGTCCTGAGTTTGATTCTTGGTACAATAAAAAAAAGAAGAAGAAGAAAAAAAAACTAGAGAGCATCACAGAGAATTCTTTGGGTTTTATTTAGAATTTCCCCCTTTTTCATTGTACAAGATAAGAATCAGTCACCCCAATTAACAAAGAATCCTTACTTTTGCCTGTTTTCCAGCAGCAAGAGGAGTGATTGGTGGCCAGATAAAAAAATCTCAGAATCCACCTCCACTGCATGTCATGAGGGAAACATTTCTTTCATGGTTAGTAACATTCATACAGCAGGAGATTCAAAAGACACAAGGAGAGTAAATAAAAGAGCTGTTGAAGTGAGTTGATATAGAGCAAGTTTAAGCCATGTAAAGATACTAAAACTCAGCCATTTACCACAGGAAGAGGGCCTTTACCAGAACCTGACCATTGTAACATTGTAATCTCCTATTTCAAGAACTGTAGCAAAAGCATTTGTGTTGTTAAAACACCACCCGGTTTTTGATAAGGTTGCTGCAGCCAAGTAAAGAGTTCTAATAGTGAGATGTGCCATTCCCACTTCTGCCCCCTTGTCCTGAGGAAAGACAACACCAGATATCAATTTCTTGGCTCAAATACAACCTACATCTTGAAAAGCACACAGACTGTACATGAAACTATTACCCAATCAGAATTGTAACTGAGGTGTCAATGGTGTATTCTACGGTGTAGTTAGGTCAGCAGCTTCTGGGTAGTGAGTTACACAGTAGGACCAGTGAGTCTCATGGCAAGAGCACATTGACTCAAGACTTTTGCTTTCAAATAAATTATTTGTGCTAGGAACTCTGGCCCTAGCTCAGACCTTACAAAAAGACCATCATCTTCCATTTCTCACGTTGGTAGACTTTGAGATAGTGCCTCCACACAATTTTAGAAATCTTAGGAGGTCAGAGGACATGATCTTCAAGATACCTCAGAATCACACAGCAGTCACAAGCAAGCATTCTAGCCACAGACTGGGTTCTGAGAGGCTAAAGCTACAGAAACCTCTCATCTGTTCATTTTCAATTGCTCCTTCTTCTCTCTCCTTTCTTTTCTTTCTTTACACTTCTCTCTCATTTCTTCATCCTCTCTTTCTTTGAATTAATTCTTCTTCTTCACCTTTGTTCTCTGCATTCTTGTAGTTTCAGCCATCTTTCTTACCCATGTGAAGACTTGCCCCTACCTTCTTTCTCAGAGCAACTTTTTTCCACTCAACCCTCAAGCTTACGATGTTAAGCTAAACTTAGCTCATGTAGAAGAAAAAATTTTGAGAGTATTACATTATATTATCTTCCTATTATAAAAAAATCAATCTTTCTAACTTTCTGTCTTTAATAGCTCAAGCTTTGATTTGTTCACTGCAAAGATTTACGTATCTAGGTATCAGGGGAAGTGTCTGCAAATTCCTCCATAAAATCTTTACAAATTCTCTCAGTTTCAGCCTCTAGACTTTTTCTTTTAAAATAAAGATCTTTCACATTCTTAGTTTTATGAGATAGTTGCTTTTAACTGAGCATTTGATATGATTTTAATCTGTCTGTATGCATCTGTATTTGCTTTGTAGTGCTATATTTAATTGTGTATTTTCAAGTACAGACTAAAGTCTACAATTTAACCCCTTTAGATATTTTCTTATATCTGTTACAGTTATTATTGCGGGGTTTTTTAACTTGTGTTAACAACTTTTGTGCCTTTGATCTTTGCAATAGACCTATAATAAAAGCAATCACTTCTGTATACCAACATCTTTCAAAAACTTTGAAGCTTAGATTTAAACATTCTCTATGGACTACAGAATATCTGCTTTAGCTAATATGACTCCATTGAAAAGACTGAGTATGTCTTAATATTTTAGTAAGGTTTTCTGAGTCATAAGTGGGAATGCACAAAAGAGGAACAATTTATTAAAATAGTATGTGTGGTGAATTAACTAATGTCACCTTGGAACACCCAGCTGAACTGATTCAGAGTGTGGAAGATCCACCTGAGGACTGTTGCCAAAATGACGAAAGGAGAACAAAAGGGTAAGATTGCACACTGTTGATTTTTCTAGAGAAGCTTGCCATGGCTGGCTTTCCTAATAAGAACTTGGCTGTTCTCCTCATCCAAGGAGCTGTCCACACTGTTGGCTGTCACCAAGAATGGCTGCTGTTCTCTTCCCAGGGAGCTCCAGGGAAGACCCCTGGCACAGAACCTTCCTCCTCCCAGTACGAACTTTTTAGCTTCCACCACTGGCCTTTGGGCCTTCCCGGTGCAGATCCTTGATACAGATTTATGTGAGACATTGCTTTGGGCTCTAGGCCTTTGGCAGATTCATATGGGACATTGCTGTGGGATACAGAGCCTCAGCTGGATTCTTTGGGTCTCTAGCATGAGAACAGATCTCTCACACTCCTCTGCATTTGGCTTTTGGGGTGAATATTATAAAATAATCCTATAAATTATGTGTACTGAATTAAATCTATTCCCTTACAAAGCCCTGAACACAACAATATATGATTAGAAACAGTCTTGGATGGTAAGACATATTCTGAAAATAAAAAAAGAAGTAGTTGGGACACATACACAAACACTTTTCTCTTGATTTCTAGTTCTTAGTCTTTGGGGAATGTTTGATAATAATGTAGGTAAAACTATGGAATTTCTCCCCAGACTAAAACACATTAGCATACAAGTCTATGGACCTAAGGTAAGCAATTATCACTAAGGAATATTATTAGACAATTAATCCAAACTACCCTCTTGCTGCTCTATGCCCATTGCAGAAAGCCCTAACTGAAACTTAGTCTTCATCCTGAAGCAGAAGTAAGATCGAGTGCTGCCTGTGGTTTAACATTTTACCCATTACAACACAGCAGAGAAATAAAGAATGAACTTAGTAAATAAACACAAATACAATTCACCGCTGGAATGGGTATGTAAAAATACTTATGGGACCTGGTCTGGAGAAAGCCATTCTAACCAGAAGATATGGCTTAAGCTAAGAAAGGAAATAGGAAGTACCTTGTTGTCTTTGGGAAATTTGTGTCAGGTACCAGTGCAAGAGAGTGATGGTTCTATAGGCAGTGGGTAGGGGCTCATGTATGCAATAACACCTTGAATCTAGGGAAGATTTTAAACAGTGGAGTAATTAACTTCAGATACTGGAGATCACCCAGGCAATTCTGGAGTCAGAAACATCATTAGGAGGTAGTAGCAGAAGTCCCTGACAAACATGGAAAGAAGTTTAAAGGGGAGGAAGAGCAGACACAGCAAGAAAGGAAAAAGCTGGAAAAACTAGAGGACTGGATAAGGAAGTGGAGGACTGAGGCAAAAGAAATGATGTACTTAATGCTTTCTGTAGGATATAAACTGTACCGTGAATAGCTGTGAACTCTCAAGACCACCATGCTGAGGGCCGTGGACCATCCTGCTGCACTGTGGATACAGATAGCAGTGTGAGGGAAGAAAACCTTTGCTCTCTATTGAGAAACTAGAGATGGAGTTCAGCTCCAAGGCTAAAGCTTGAAGCCAGCTTTGAGGTAGTGGGATAAAGAAAGGAGACTCACAGAGAGGTTTACATGCCATTAAATTTCCTTGTACTCTAACAGCATACATAATACACACACACACACACACACACACACACACACACACACAAATTGAGCCCCAGCAGTGAAGATAGTGAAGATGGTGGATGGGAAAAGTCTAGGCCAGAAAATCCTATTAGTGCCATGCACAGATGATCTATTTGTTCAGATCTTGCACTACAGATAATATGTGCACATTATCATCAAGTGCCTAAAGTATGTTTTCTTTGATTCTCAATATACATCCATTTATATTAAAATTTTCTTCTTCTTAGTGCTTACACTGGTAAAATCACAGCTTATGACTCATATGCCTGATTCTGCTTCACTGAATTTTGATTCTATTTATAGTTAATGTATTTTGGGGGTATTTTCTAATTCCTGATGAATTCTCTCTTCCTGTTTTCTTCAGGTCACTGGCAAATGAAAGATAGGAAGAAGCAAAAAGGTGAAGGACAAGGAAAGATTGTAATGTGAACCGGTGTGAATCATAGATGATTATATCTGGTATATCAGGGCCATTCTCTCACTTTCTTCCTCTCCATCAAGCCTGGAAGAGGCAGTGGTGTCAAAGAGTTATTACAGAGAAAATTTTTGCTCCACACACATACACCTCAGTAATCTCCATTAGTTCTTCCTTCAAGCAATTAACATAAAAATATTACGGAAAAAAGTAAACCCATGTATGTTTTTTGTAAGCCCAATTATAAGTATCCCCATCCCCTCCTTTGACTAGTTAGCTGCTCCAAAGCCTTTTCTACTAGATTGAATCATATTAAGTTGCCCTTTGGATGTGTCATTAATTTCACATGCTTCAACTTAATACGTAGAAACCCTGGACCCACTATTGCCCAGAATGTGCCCTTCCTAAGATCATCAGGGGAAAAACATTTTAAGCCATGTTTTCTGTCAATGCCGTAGTACACCACTGAAAATCCCCAGTTCTTCCTCTTCTACCAGAGATTCTCCCTCCAACAAATTTTATATTGGGTTAGAAGACAATGACAAGGAATTCTGAAAAGAATTAATGGGTTTTTTAGAAAATATTAAATAAAAAAACAATTTTAATTCAACTGTGTCAGAATTAGTACAGTGATGTTGACTCTTCCAGCTTCCTAGGACCCCCCCACCAATGGACACAGTGGTCTTTCTGTCCTGACGTGACAGCACCACCACATGGTAGAGAGAGAGAGAACACATATCTCTTCAGTTTGACTGTGGGTAGATAAATATTCAAAGTATTGCCCTGGTCTCTCAAGAAAGATCCCTCCCGCTGGATCAGGGGGAGGGAGGAGAAGATTGTTTTTATAAAATACGATAAACAAGAAAAAATACAAATTTGAAACTCTGGGGACACTTCTGGGAAGCTAATATCTGCCTTTAGTAATCAATAGCTTATGCTTGCATGCCAGCCATCAACACAAGCACTCCATGCCTGCAAACTGTGATACAATCAAGCTTTCATTTATATTTATATGACCAGGAGGACCCTGCATTTGATGATTTTTAAAAATGCACGGACTTGGCTCTGTTTAATTCTGATATATTGGCCTATTATCTGTAAGAGGCCATTGGCTAAATTGTAGTGTTCACAAGAGGGTCCATGATGGAAATTAATCAAAATGATAGAGAAATACTCAGATCTAGATTTTTCTTTAACAGTAAAATTTCAGTATGAGAAGCACATTCTGCTTCCAAGCGACCATCAGAACTAGATTTAAGAAGACCTGATTGTAAAACAAATGCATTATTAAAATAGTTTGCTATCATGCACTAAAAGAAAAGCAGCTTGACAATTGATGGAGCAGGAGAGATTGGAGCCACAGAATTGCAGCAGATATAACTGTTGCCTCCAGGGGTCAAACTCAGCAAGCCCAGAGGCTGGGGAGGTCTTCCATGATGAGAGAAACTGGCATTTCTAGGTGGCCTGTCACTAGCTGAATTGTTTTACTTATGAAATATTTCTTTAACTTCCGTTAGTCCTAACTCAATCTAGACAAATTGCTTCAGTTTCTAAATCTGGCCATTATTCAGCATCTATGGGTAAGTGTCCTGGTGTGATAGTTACTGTGATGGGTGTGAATCTTTAAAGAGAACATTCATCATCTCTGTCCTAAGGAAACAGGCAGTCATGAGAGAAAATATACAAATATCCTAACTGATATAACATAATAATTTAATTATTCTCTTGAAGAAGCAAAGAGATGCAGGAAATTACTGGTTCCCAGTGAGATGAATCCCAATGACCACCCCCCTCTCACAGTATCATCATTGTGGTAATGTCTTATTAAGGGGCAGGATATGTATCCACCATGGTTTCAAGCATGGTGCTAGGTTGGCAGTAACTCACTTTTGTATATCATCAGTAACATGAAATTTCAGGATACTGGTCTTGGTGACCAAAGATAACTGACTATTGAAAGCAACATAGGGATTAGAACTGAACTGAACTTAGTGTCAGAGGCTGGGACCTAGTTCTAGCTCTGCCACTCCCTGCCTATGGGACTCTGGGAAAACTGTTCCACTACCAAGGATCTCAAATAGCCTCAGCTGTGAAGTGTCAATGGACTATTGAAAGTTACTAAAGACCTACATTTCTATGGCTCAATGTGGAACCGAGCCTTTTCCCACCACCTCCAATTAGCTTTAAAGCAGGGCAGCTATGAAGCATTTTGACTTGCCTCAGAGCCATATACAGCAGTCTGCCTTTACAAGGCTGCCTGGCCATGCTAATAAACTGGATTTTGTTGCCTTTGTGCATTGGATATTGGTGACTAAAGGTTCATCTACCTAATGGATACATATTGAGCATGTGCTTTGAGGCCTAAGAAAAAGTGGGAATTAAATAGAACTCACTTTTTTCTTTGCAGCCATAAGCATGAAAAACTTCCTGGAATTTAGGTCAAAGAGGTTCAAATATTTTCTACTAGTAGGATGCCTAGCTTGCAGCTAGGATCATAGAATACAGTATCATAAATCATTTAGGAAAACCTCATTTTTCATTAGGGGAAATGAAGAGAGTCATGTACGTTCCTCAAGTCACTGGGGAAGCTAGTGATAGCCTTCATTTATTCAATAAATATTTGAGCTCCAAAGTTTTTGCTAGGTACTGAGTAAATAGTAAACAAAGCACTGACAAATCTTATAGTGTACTGGGCCACAGATAATTAAACATGATTTGATAAATATTATGTCCTGGAAAACGCTTTTAAAGAGATGCCAGAGAAGATTTCCTTAAGAAATTCAAGCCTAGGCTAAGCTCTAAATTACAACTATGAGCCATAAAGTTAGGTCTGGGAATCCTTAACGTAGAATTCAACTATCCTCCTTCTGTAAATTCCTAGACTATAGGCACCAACTGGGACTTGCTACTCAAGAGGAGGTGAGGTGTTCTTGGAGAACGACCTGCTCTTGCCTAGTTGGACAAAGACCACCAGCAAACTCATAGGAACTTGTGCCTCTGTGCACTCTGCCCTTCATTTCCATGGCTAATATCAGAGTAATGGAGTAGAAAGAGAGTGTCCTGCTTAAGCAGCAGTCCTGAGTCTGGTTACAATTTGGACGGTGACTACCGTGTGCCCTGTGGGCTGAGCACTTCCCTCTCTGAACCTCCTAGCTGCAAATGAGGAAAATATCTCCTTAATGAAGTTATTGAGTCTTTAATCAAACAATGAATATAAAACAGTCACAGCCTCCAACAGCAAGGCTGCATAAAGAGCCCACAGAGAGTAGCTCTGAAGGGTCAAGCAACTGCAAACACCTAAAATTGCAGGCTTCTTGTCAGGGGTGACTAATAGACTTTGTAGAAGAAACAATAAATTCAAGGTCTCCAAACACTAAGAAACTCTCTGTTGTTCTGCTTCTCTGCTTCCTTCTTATCAATTAAAATTATTATATAGTTTCTTGGTGCTTTACATTAAGTCCATTAAGACATCTCTATAAACCCTCCATCCCAACCTCATCACTAACATGGATTTATTGCAAAAAGAACAAATATAAAATTCAAATGTAAAGACTGACTGATTAGAATCAATTTACTCAGTCATAATTTATAAAGAAGCACAATTTCTACTGTCTTGATCCTCTGGCATAAATTAATTATAGTTTATTTAAAGGAATTTTTAATGAAGAACCTGATAAAATTATAAAGGAAGGCCTAGGTGTGTTTTAACCAAAAGCATCAAGTGCTTCATTCTATTTACTGCTTCAGTGGTGCTCAACTCGTACAGTCAGAAATCTCCCCATAGTAACCCTCATGATGGGATACACAGCACCCCAGTGGATAGATGACATCCGGGCTCAGAGAATCACACACACCCAGTGTGCAATTTTTCTTTGAGAAGCTAAAATTTATTTCTTCCATAGTCTTCATCTTTCCTGATGGCCACTACAGTCCTTGGCTGCCTGGTTTGTACTCCATACAACTTCCTTCTTACACCTATTCCAACTGTTTTATTAGCCTTCTTTAAAACATTGCAAAGGAGGAAAATGACAGTTTGCAAACTAACCACATTGAGTCTGGCCCAGGCTAACGAGAAGGGATTTGGAAATCTGTGAGCTTGACAAAAATGCCTGTGGGTTCTGATATATGAAATTATTTTTATTCTGGCTTTTCTGAAACAATGAGAATATCAATTCAGTCTTTCCTATTCAAGGATGTTATGCACCATCGGCTTCCAGACTCAGATTTTCACAATGTTAATGATCCCTAACCAATAGATCTTAATTCCAGTAGCAAAAATCCTGCAGGATTTCTCCATCTACTGGACAGGCAACCTGCAAGTTCTTTGTCTCCACTCTTCACAAAAGCCAGTGTGATAAACCAAAGTTGAAGTAGTCACAGGAGCAAGGAAGCAGAATGCAGTATTTTTAGCCTGAGAGAGCTTCATTGTTTTATTTAATTAATTCAGCTAGTGACCCTTGCACCCTTCCAGCTATTTTAAAACCTCTGTCCTTGGGTGATTATCCTCCTGTGACTTTTTTCATTTCAATTTGTTTCTAATGGATACATAAAATTGTACATATTGAGATAAGCTGATGTTTCAATAGATGGGTACATTGTCTGATGTTTAATTCAGGTTAAACATATCTATCTCCTCAAATATTTGTCATTTTTTTTTTTAATGGCAAAAACTTTCAGAATCCTTTCTCGTAGCTTCTTGGAGTGTATAGCTCTCTTTCTTTTCTATTGCTCCCCTACTGTGCAATACCACCTCAGAACTTGCTATCTAACTATAACTCAGGACCCACTGACCCCATGTAACTTTAATGAAGAGAGTCACAATTTTAGCAAAAGGGCCCAGAAAGGAAATACGTGTTTATACTAACCAACATGGAAAAAGGCAACTCTAAGTTTTCAAACTGGGTAGGTAGTTTGGTGCCACTTACTGGTGTGTGTTGGTATTATAACAGAGTACCCACCACCTCGATGTCCCTACATGTTCTTTTGTTCCCTTACCCACTCAAGGCTCACGTGTTAGAGCAGTGATTTGTGCAGTAATGACCATCCCGAGGAACTCACAGACCTGGAAATGTAATAAGATGTTCCAAGACATAAGGAAATTCCAACAGTTTTCAGAGAACATTTTCTTGAGTGTACACCTATGTTCACCAATAATCTTTTTTCACTTTACAAAACAAAAACAAACAAACAAAAAAACAACA